CAGATGTCCTTCAATTCTTCCTTAATTGAATATTTTCTTTTAAAAAAATACTTTCTAAAATCAGAAATGGGTGTCAGATTTTGACAAATGGACACAGAAACCATGCCTGTTATTTTTATATTTTTTTAATTTAAATTCAATTAATAAACATATAATGTATTATTGGTTTCAGAAGTAGAGGTCAATGATTCATTAGTCTTATATAATACCCAGTGCTCATTAAAACACATACCTTCCCCAATGTACATCACCTAGTTACTCCATCCCTTTACCTCCTTCCCCTCAAGCAGCCCTCAGTTTGTTTCCTATAAAAGGTCTCTTATGGTTTGTTGCCCTCTCTGATTTTGCCATGTTTTATTTGTTCCTCTCTTTCCCTATGATCCTGTTTTGTTTCTTAAATTACACATATGAGTGAGATCATATGATACTCGTCTTTTTCTGACTGACTTATTTTGCTTAGCATAACAGCCTCTAGTTTCATCCACATTGTTGTAAATGGCAAGATTTCATTTCTTTTGACAGCTGCATAGTATTCCATTGCACATATGTACCACATCTTCTTTATCATTCATCTCTCGATGGACATCTGGGCTTTTTCCATAGTTTGGCTATTGTGGACATTGCTCCTATAAATATTTGGTTGCACATGCCCCTTTGGATCACTGTATTTGTATCTTTGGGGTTAATACCCAGTAACATGATTGCTGGGTCGTAGGGTACCTCTATTTTCAACTTTTTGAGGAATCTCCAAAAGTGGCTGCACCACTTGCATTCCCACCAACAATGTAAGAGGGTTCCCTTTTCTCCACATCCTCGCCAACATCTGTCATTTTATGACTTGTTAATTTTAGCCATTCTGACTGGCGTGAGGTAGTATCTCGCTGTGGTTTTGATTTGGATTTCCCTGATGCCAAGCGATGTTGAGTATTTTATTATGTTTTTGTTGGCCATTTGTATGTCTTCTTTGGGGAAATGTCTGTTCATGTCTTTTGCCCATTCCTTGATTGGATTATTTGTTCTTTGGGTATTGAATTTGATACGTTCTTTTTGATTTTAGAGGCTGGCCCTTTATCTGATATATCATTTGCAAATATTTCTCTCATTCTGTTGGTTGCCTTTGGTTTTGTTGACTGTTTCCTTTGTTGTGCAAAAGGTTTTTATCTTGATGAGGTCCCAATAGTTCATTTTTGCCTTTGTTTCCCTTGCCTTTGGAGAGGTATCTAGCAAGAAGTTGCTGTAGCCAAGGTCAAAGAGGTTTCTGCTTCTGTTCTTCTCTAGGATTTTGATGGATTCCTGTCTCACATTGAGGTCCTTCATCCATTTTGAGTCTATTTTTGTGTATGGTGTTAGGAAATGGTCCAGTTTCACTTTTCTGCATGTGGTCATGACTTTTATTTTAATAAAGAGAATTTAACATAAATAACTGTTAACTAACAGAAAAGTCAAAAGGACTACTAAGGCATCTGGGAGGTAGCAGAAACTGAAGGAAGTAGCTACCACACCTAGGGCTGGGGGAACACAGGGAAGAGGATAGATCCCATGGAATTCAGACCTCTGAGGACCCCACTGCTTGGCTGGTGCCAGCACCTGAACTCAGAGAAGGGACTCTGAGAAGCTGGACCCACACCTCTGGGAAGGGGGCCCTGGTGGACTGGACGAACAAGGTCTGGAAAAAGAGCAAACTGAATTCAAAAGCTGCTGCTAGAAAAACCCCACTATCTGTGAGGTGAAGAAACAAGATGGAGATGATATGGGCAGGAAGAGAGGGCAGATAGAAAGGAGCAAACCTCTGCCTCCCATCCCTTAGCTTTGCACTCTCCCTGCAGCACCCCCCTACTGGCAGAGCCTAAGACGGAAGAGCCGGTCAAACAGGAAAATTTGCAAAGTCCCAGCACAGCGTGGAGACAGGAAAACTGGCACAACATCTGCGGAAATGACGTGATTGTTTTCTTATAGATATGGATATCTACATATGGAATTACATATTAACATAATTAAGCTAATAACTGATTTCTTTCCTGGAGTGAATCCCATCTGGCCATGATGGCATTTTCTTTCTTTCTTTTTAAAAATTAATTAATTTATTTGAGAGAGAGAGAGTATGAGAGAGTGAGTGTGGGGGAGGGGGAGAGGGGCAGAGGGAGAGAAAGAATCTCAAGCAGACTCCCTGCTGAGACCATGACCTGAGCCAATATCAGGGGTCATTGGTCAACCAACTGAGCCCCCCAGGTGCTTCAACATTTTCTTAATATATGGTTTGCTCATATTTTATTTAAGATTTTATTATTAGCATTTTTAAGTTAGATTGATTTATAGTTTTATTTTTAGGGCAGTATTTATCAGGTATTGATATCTATATTAAATTTGCTTTATAAAAAGAATTTGGAAATTGTAATGTTTACCCCCCATGTTCTGTAATAGTTTAAGTAGATGGGGATTATCTGAGTATCCAAGATTGCTAAATTCCCCAGTGAAAACATTAGTTTTCTTTTTTCCTATTTATTTTTATTGCTATAGATATTTACTATTAAGATTTTTTTCTCTGACTATAGCTCATCTGTATTCTATAGTCTCTAGCATGTGTCTACATATTTCTCCTTTCTTCTCCTATAACATCTGCTTGGCAAACTCGATGTGGCATCAGGTGCATAGATATTAATAACTACTCTATTTTCATTATGAATTATAGCCTTTAGCATTAAAAGGTATTTTTCTTATCCTGTTTATTGCGTTTTGGCTAGAATTCTATTTTGATAGCAGATATTTCTAGTATGAATTCTCTTATCCTTTAACTTTTATCCTTTCTGAATGTCTTTGTTACTTGTCTTTCTTTTCTAGAGCACAGATTTGGGTTTTGCTTTGCTAGTCAACTTGATAAAACTTTTCTTTTAAGTTAAACCCTTTCTATTTATTGATATGGATGGCATGTTCAATATCAGTTTGACATGCCATGTTTTAGTTGTCTTTTATTGGGTATTGACTTTTGTATTCAGAAAGATATGTGTGTTCTATTAACTACCTCTATGCCAATGATTTCTGTAATAAAAACCTCAGTCATCTTTTTCTTTAGATACTATCTGTTGGTGCCTTACAATATGGAAATTATAGAAATATGGAAATTATATGGAATATATGGAAATTATAGAAATCACTTCTCTTCCCTCTCTTTTCCTAAGCTTTGAATTTTATACACAAATTTTATATTATTATTAATCTTTGTAGTACTTGACTTGTCAGACTCAGTGACTTCTTTTACCTTCAGCTAACTCTAAGAGGCAAGTGATGTACTTTCCAGTTACTCTGTGTTAACTCCTCATCTACTCTTTGATGAAATGTTTGTTCAAACATTTTGCTTCCTTTTTTTTAAATTGAGTTTTTAGCTTTCTCATTATTGAGTTATTATTTGCAAAGCTATTATTTGTGAATATTTTCTCCTAGTCTGTATTTAATCTTTTTATCCTCTTAACAATCTTTTTAGGCTCTGCTTTCTTTGAAGAGCAGAAATTCTTAAGTTTGATGAGGTCAGATTCATCAGTATTTTCTTTTACAGATCATGGTAAGAAATCCTTGTCTAAATCAAGGTCACAAAGATTTTCTCCTATGTTTCTTCTGTAAGTGTTATAGTTTTATGTTTTATTTATTTATTATAATTTTAAAAATATTTATTTATTTTAGAGGGAAAGAGAGAGAGCACGAGTGGGAGGGACAGAGGGGGAGAGAGAGATTCCCAAGCAGATCTCATGTTGAGCATGAAGCTGGACGCTGGTCTCAATCTCAGGACCCTGAGATCATGACCTGAGCTGAAACCAAGAGTCAGACGCTCAACTGACTGTCTCCTAGGTGCCCTGATATAGTTTCAGGTTTAAAATTTAAGTCTATGGTTCATTTTGTCAGTTAACTTTTGCATATGGCACAAAGAATGGGAAAGGCTATTATTTTTGCATATGACTGTCTAATTGTTTCAGCCCTATTTGCTGAATTAACTATCTTTTATCCTTTGTATTGTCTGGGTACCTTGGTTAAAAATCAGTTGTCTGTATAGGTCAATTTCTGGTCTTTATTCAGATATACTGATCTCTCCTTAGTGTCTTTCTTTCTTTCTTTCTTTTTTTTTTTTAAAGATTTTATTTATTTATTTGACAGACAGAGATCACAAGTAGGCAGAGAGGAAGGCAGAGAGAGAGGGGGAGGCAGGCTCCCTGCTGAGCAGAAAGCCTGAAACGGGGCTCAATCCCAGGACCCTGGGATCATGACCTGAGCTGAAGGCAGAGACATAACCCACTAAGCCACCCCGGCGCCCCTCTCCTTAGTGTCTTTATACTGATACCACACTGTCTGGATTATTTTAACTTTATAATGAGTTGTGAATCAAGTCCTTTGTTTTCAAAGTTGTTTTGGCTATTCTCTTGTCCTTTGCATTTTCATATGAATAGAATTTAGATTTGGATAGTGTGCTGTATTTATAGATCAGTTTGGGAAGAATTGATGTCTTCACACTATGGAGTCTTCTGATTGAAGTACATGTTCAGTCTCTCCATTTATTTCCATCTTCTGTAATTCCTTCAGTGAAGTTTTATAGTTTTTAGTGTATAGGTCTTGTATTTTTCTCATATATTCCTAAGTATTTGATAATTTTATGCTATTGGTAATAGTTTTGTTTTTTAATTTCAAGTTCTGATTTTCTATTGTTACTATATAGAAATATGTTTAATTTTTATATTGATCTTGTATTGTGCAAACTGAATAAACTCTCTTATTAGTTCTAAGAATATCTTTGTAGATTAATAGGAACTTTTGGTTGCATGGTCATTTTTTTTTGTGAATAAAGACAGCTTTTATTCTTCCTTTACAGTCTGGATGCCTTTTTTCCCTCTTCCTTGGCTTATTGCACTGACTAGAATTTACCAGTGATAGATTTTACCAAACTTCTGGACATGCAGTTTTATTTGTAGGAAGGTTTTAAACTACAAATTCAATTTCTTTTCTTTTCTTTTCTTTTTTTTTATATGGAATGCTTCACGAATTTGGGTGTCATTCTTGCGCAGGGGCCATGCTAATCTTCTCTGTATCATTCCAATTTAATGTATGTGCTGCTGAAGCGAGCACTACAAATTCAATTTCTTTATAAATATAAGGATTTTTAAAAAGTTATCTATTTTTTCTTGAGTTAGTTGTGGTGGTATGTGTCTTTCAAGGAAATTGTCTATTTCATTGAAGTTGTCAAATTTATTGACATAAAATTGCTCACAATTGAATCTTTTTATTATATCTTTTATATCTATAGAATCTGTAATGATACTACCTCTCTCATTCCTGATATTAAGGATTTTTTATCTTTTGCCTTTTTTCTTTAGTTGTTTTTCTAGAATTTTAGAAATTTCATTGCTTTTCCCCAAAAAACTTACTTTTGGTTTTGGTTTCTTTATATTTTCTTCATTGGTTTTCTGTTTTGTATTTTATTGATTTTTTTTTTTTTTGTTCTGACCCTTATTATTGCATTGATTTTGTTTACTTTAGGTCTAATTTGTTCTTCTTTTTCTAATTTTTAGAAGTGGAAGCTGAGAAAATTGATCTGAAACTTCTTTTCTAAAACAGGCCTTTATTGCTATCAATTACTGCCTACATACTACTTTAATGGTATCCCAGAAATTGTGGTATATTCCGTCTTTATTGTCATTCGTGAAACACTTTTAAAACTTCTTTTAGTTTCTTTTTTGTCCCACTGGTTATTTAGAAAGTGTGTTATTTCGTTTTAAATATTGGAGAATTTTCCGGAGGGTTTTTTTTTTTTATTAATGTCAAATTTAATTCCTTCATGGCCAGAAGACATATTTGACATAACTAGAAAACTTTTACATTATCAAATCTACTTTATGGTCCAGACCATATATGGTCTTTCATGAGAACTATTCCATGTGCACTTGAAATGAATGTGATTCTCTTGCTGTTGGATGGACTATGAATGTCAATTAGGTGATGTTGATTGGTAGTTTTATTTGGGTCTTCTAAATCCTTATGTATTTCCTATCTCTTTGTTTCATTGGTTATTGAGCGAAGGATCTTATAATTATTGATTATAATGGCTTCATATATTTTGAAACTCTAGGTACATAAATGTTTAGGATTGTTTTGTCCTCATGAGGAATTAATGCTCTGATTAATGTGAAAAGACTAATTCTGATGATAATCTTTGCACTGAAATGTACTTTACCTGATATTAATAATAGGCAGTCCAACTTTATGTTTACCAGTTTATTAAAGGATGTGATAAAGGATGCAAATTGCCCATCAGATGAAGAGATACTTAAGGTGAGGTATGGGGAAAGGGCATGCCCTCTCTAGACATACCACTCTCCCCTATCTCTGCGTGTTCACCAACCTGGAAACTCAGTCAAATTTACTTTTGATTCAACGCTAGCATGCTGTTTTCCACTCTTTCTGTTACTATTTGCAAAACTATTTTTGTTTCTATCTGTATCTTTATGTATTCTGAATTTTCATTATTAGGTGTACAAATATTTAGGATTTTTATATTCTTAATGAATTATTCCATTTATCACTTCGAAATGACCTTCATTTCTGGTAAGGTAATTTGCTTTGAAATCTATTTTGTCTACTATTAATATAGCCTCTTGCGCATTCTTTCCAATCAGCATTAGCATGGTATATTGTTATGTTTAACCTGTTTGTATCTTCTTTCTGTTAAAGTGCATTTTTTTTTTAAGACTTTATTTACTTGACAGACAGAGACCACAAGTAGGCAGAGAGGCAGGCAGAGAGAGAGGGAAGCAGGCTCCCCTCTGAGCAGAGAGCCAGATGCGGGGCTCGATCCCAGGACCCCGGGATCATGACCCAAGCCGAAGGCAGAGGCCCTAACCCACTAAGCCACCCAGGTGCCCCTAAAGTGCATTTCTTTAGGGGAGCATATAGTTGGGTCTTGTTTTTTTGACTTAATCTGATGGTTTTTGGCCTTCTAATTGGGACATGTAAACCATTGACATTTAGTGTTATTATTATTGTTAGATTTAAATCTGTCATCTTAATTGTTCTGTATTTGTCTCATCTGTTTTTGCCCCTTTTTTTTTCCTTTTCTGACTTTTTTGGATTACATTTTTTAAAATTTCATATTCTTTGTTGGTATTTTTAGTGGTGGATCCTTTGTGTTATTTTAGTAGTTTAGAGTTTATAGTATATAACTTATTATAGACTACTTCAAGTAATATTATGTCATTTCATAAATACTCTAAGAACCTCATAGTATATACTTCAATTTGTCTTCTGGTCTTGTGCTATTGTGGTCATACATTTTATATTTACATATGTTAAGTAATCCCACACCACATCATTATTATATTTGTTTAAAGCATAAACATATTTATCTTTATCTTTCATAAAGGCATTTAAAGATTTCTACTCTTTAAAGATATTTATATAATAATAAAAAGCCTTACATAGCTCCCACTAAGACTGTCACACAGCAGGTCCTCCATAAAGTTCTGTCAAATGAATGAACAAATAAATGTACTGATAAAAAAAGTGATTTGAGTGAAAATAGAAGTGTTACCTGTTCTGATTTGGGGTAGTCACATTGGCCTGGACCACACCTAAAAACACAATTTGCTGTTTTAAAAGCTACATAGGCTCAGACCAATCAATGTAGATGCTTTAAGAAGGGCATTTGCACACATCTGGGCACTGGTGGATGAGGTTGACAGAGTGAGGTCATGAACAGCAGGGTGGTCTGGTGGACAGGGCTGCTCCCTGGATTGAGTCCACTGGGGGTCAGAAGTTCAGGGGCCTACCACTTCTGAGACTCATGGCTTTTGGCAAGCCACTTAACTCCCCTGATATGTTTGTCACTTAACAACCTCACATAGTTGGTCTCAGTCTCAAAGGGAATAATTAATGCAGAAGTTCTTTGTAAATGGCAAAGTGCTAGGCAACTCTAAAGGGCATTAGCAGTGCTGAGAAAGGGACAGCGTGAACTCTGAGTCTATTGCCTAGTTCTGGTCACTGTGGAATAAAACTGGATTAATCTCCAAGTTCCAGCACTGAGCTCCTCAGGAAAAGTGTCAAGTACTATGTTCCACCAGAAATTCTGAGCTGACTGGTGCTGACCTGACAAGCAGGGGACCCACCAGTGGGCTGAGGGTATGCCACTTTGCAGTTAAAGCCTCTCTTCCCAGGCAGAAAGCGTCTGTTTCTGTGTAATAATTAGTCTTGGTCCACTAGTAGCATAATCACCAAAATGGTCCAAGCCATCAGAAAGACAGTGTTGGTCAACTCTATGAATGGAAGGAGGGACTTTCCCTAAAAGTCTTAGAAACTGGGGAAAGTACATCTAGGCTGAGGATTTGTTGTGGGAGGACTTAGCAGATTAATTTTCCCTTATAATGGGTTTCATCTGTGATTCAATCTATAATTCCAGGAACTCTCATTTCTTAGATCTAACAAGTTCTTCACCAGTAATGATGGAGACAAAAACCTGAAATGATTAAACAGGTGTTTTTTTTTATTTTTCCCCAGGTCCCGAGTCCCTCCAATTACCCTAGTTTCCTCTTGAGAGAGCTCCAATCCATTCAGATCATGGGGAATTTACATTTGGGGGTCTGTCCAGTTCTACTCTGCTGAATGAGCTGGCGTGAGGAATCCCCCTTAGATGATGGATGATGCTGGCAGCAGAGAAGAGCTTCTCCCCTTGTCCCCCTTCCCCAGCTCTGTGACATTCTAGGGCATGAGGATTGGTCCCTGGGTTCTTCTGGGGCTGGAGAGGTTTTCCTCTTGGGAGTCTACCACTGGGTGTGGCCGCAGTGAAAAAGCAACCAGGCCTGAAGGTCTAGAGGTGTGTCTCTGTTCTTGTTGGTGAGCTCTCTTTCACTCTGGGCCTGGTGGGAAGATGTGGTGATGCTGTGTGCTGAGAAAGGAGAAGCAATGACACCTCTTTGGATAAAGATGCTCCATCAAGTTAACAGCTATCTTCATGACTGCAGCAAGGTTCTCAAGCGCAGTTGTCCACTGCCACACTGGTCCTGCCTACTAGGCTACACTATGTGTAACTGGGCTTGAGGACAACATGGCTCTGCTTCTTTTTGAAACTTCTGGTCAAAGAGTTGCTCCAGCAGCTAATTTTTTTTTAAAAAGATTTTATTTATTTATTTATTTGAGAGAGAGAGAGAGAGAGAGAGCATGAGAGGGGGTAGGGGTCAGAGGGAGAAGCAGACTCCCCACTGAGCAGAGAGCCCGATGCAGGACTCCATCCTGGGACTCCAGGATCATGACCTGAGCCAAAGGCAATTGCTTAACCGATTGAGCCACCTACGCACCCCGTCTAGCAGCTCATTTTTGTCTGCCCTGCCCTGGCTTCTGTGAGGCCACTTTGATGTACACAGTCCATTTTGAGGAACCTCATGGTGATAACCGCCTTGGAAGGCTGCTGTCTTTGACTCAGTGAGTCGTGGATTTCACCTAATAGAAGCATCAGGTTTACAACATTCCAGATCTTAAGGTTTTGAACTTTCCACTTACTTTCTAGCAATTTCCACTTAATTGATAATTGACCTTATGACTTTTGTAAGCTAACTACTTATAATTTCTGTATCTCTATTTGTTCATGTTCTTTTAGCATATTTTATTATTTCAAATTATGTGGTTTGTCATTACTTTTTGAAGGACTAATTTATTTCATGGAAATAGGTGGTTATAAGCCCCCAGGTTTTTGCACTCCCCCTTAGCTGAAGCCATGGTTGAAGCATAAGCCACAAATTTCAAGTAGTACATAATGAGGAGCCTTGAGAGGATGGGCCCTTATTGACACAAGGGCATTTGAGAGCACACAACACTAGGCCAGTCATTATCCTTTGTTTATATTCTTCTCGGTTTATGGCCCTCTGCTGACCCTGCTCACAGTCACAGCCAAAATCACCCTTTGCCCTCATCCGCTGCTCCGTTCTCCCTTACTCTGTTCCTGTTCTGCACACATAAATTGATTGCTGTTCATCTCTGAAACGCGAATGTTCCCTTGGCCTGAGCGCTTTCCTTGACTTGTCCACAGAATGGCGCCCTCCCCTCCTTGGGTCTTTGTCCTAAAGTCACTTTCTCAGGGGATT